GAGAGACCGACAGACAGAGAGAGAGACAAAGACAGAGAGAGAGAGATGAAAAGCCGATGTGTGTGCGTGCGTGTGTGTGTTTGAATATGACTCTCTCTCTCTCTCTCTCTCTCTCTGTGTGTGTGTGTGTGTGTGTGTGTGTGTGTGTGTGTGTGTGTGCGCGTGTGTGAGTGTCAGTATATGTGTAAGAGTTTTCTAGAGTGTGTGTCTATATGTGTGGTTCTGTGCGTGCTCCTGTAAGCGTGAAGGCCTAGAAAGACAGGGCTGTGAAAGCCGTCGCACATTGTCTACAAAGAAAAATAACAAATAAAAATCTACAACTGCTCAAAAGAGGTCAAAGTTTAACATAATAAAAACCCAAAACCAGATTTGAAAATGTCACCAAATTGAACAAGTAAAAACTGAGCGAAAAAATTGAAGTTTAAAAAAAAAAAAGTATTTTCCAGCAAATTGTATGTTTGTATCGCTTAGGGTGGCAAAATAACCGTACTTGCTTGCTTGCTATTTCTCATTTGATTAATTTCTTAACGCTTTTTCAACTTAAAATCTATTTTTTCTAACCCCTCCCCCCTGCCCTCTTACTATTTCATGTCTTTCTTTCTCCTTTCTTTCTATTTCTCCCTTTGAGCCTCTCCTCTTTTTCCCTCTATTTCCTTTTACCCAACTCCTTAGTAACTCGTATGTATATTATATTTTACGATACCCCCTGGTAAAACTTCAGGCTTTTTCGTGACAATGTTCTGGGCTCCTCCTTCAGCGACTAATACGGGGAAGGGCACACACTAACTAGCGCAATATTCGGGCTTTTGAACAAGCATATATAAATCGTACATTATCGATTCATAATCAGTTTCTTTAGCACTATCTGATAGGATTTTAAAAGAAATTTAAATTCAAAACTTACCGGAACCACCCGCCATCTCCCCCACCCGCTTTCTCTCTCAAAATTGTCACCCTCCACCCAAACTTTTGTCTCCTTTCAATATGCAAAATAAACGCCATTTTGGCCCTCGTGTTGACGGTTTAAATATTTCTGTGTCGTATAAATCCAGATTTCATAAAGAAGATTTAAATGGAAAATTATAGCTGATAGGCATGCTGTGATTCGTGATTTATATGTGCTATGTAGTTTTATGGCTGGTGCTTGATACAATTCATTCCAAACTCATCTTTCCGACAAAAAACCTCCCACATAAAACCCAGTGCATGTTTGTGTCATGCAAAGAGTGTGCAAAAATCCACAGTTGATCACTTAACAAACATTTCTTTTGCGTAGGAAACTGCACAAAACACAAAATATAAGTAAAAGAAATTGAGATGAAATCAAAGATATAGGAGCAAAATGTATTTGCAAAACCGCATAGAAAATCCTAGTAACCAAAGAAAAAAACTGATCCCAACTAAGCAGAAGGATTAAAATATGAAGAATCAAAACAAATTGAGTAAATTTTGACCATAATCAAACATCCACTTGAAAAAATAAAACGATACGATGTTGGTGTCAAAGGTACCTGGAACACTGTGACCAGAGACCAAATCAGATTGTCAAAATTGGCTCGGTCACAGAGGCAGACTACAGAGGAGTTTCGTCGCTCCTCACAGGAGCAAAGCGTTCCATCCTCCTTCTCACAAAACGTTCCCCCGAACAGGTTCATACCAAGAATGCTGTGTAGGCCAGGCCGGACAGCAAAATGAGTCAACGTTAGAGATAGGGACAGTACGCACACTAGATACATCAAGATGTTAGGGGATAGAGACAGGACGCACACTAGATACATCATGATCTTACTCATAAGAATGCTTTCAAATACATTTCAAAGCAGTCTTCTTCTTGTTTCTCACGTTTGATAGAGACAGTTTGCAACATTACATAATACTATTCAGTTTTAAAAAAAAAAGTTTTAGTCACAGTTTTACAGCACTTCCAACACACATAGATTATATAGGTGCCGAAGATTAGAGGTATTACTAGAGAGTAACACACAAAGAAAGGGCGGAGAGATAAGGACGATATTATATTTGATAGGAAAGAAGGAACAAACTTCACCAGGGCGCCTTTCAACCCCCCAAACACTAGATTAATCATGATCTTACTTGCAAGAATCCTTTCAAAATTAATTCAAAGAAATCTCGTTCTAGTCTATTGTAATAAAATATTTCAAAGCTGTTTGATAATTCAGTGGTGCAGGCCTTCCCAAAAAGGTTTTACATAGCAGACCAACTGGGTATGACATTGTTCAACAAAATAATTTCTGTCCAGTTACCACTATCGACACTTCTGTACGAACACAAGCTGCGAACAGAGTTGCCCTAGTATCTATTTAGAAAGTTATACCAAGGGGACAGATTTCCGCTTGACATTAAACGTCCTTTGGGATTGGGATATGTATTTGTCTAAGTAGCAAAGGCTTGCTTTCCGCCAGCATCGTTTAACAATGATCAAAATCAATATCCTAGAGTTTCCATTTAAAGCTGTTATTTGAATAACAAATATAAATGGATCTACTAGAATATTTATTACAATTTCCGTTTCCTTAGTCCTTTCTTAGTTTTGAAATCGAAATATAACAAGTGTCCGAGTCATAGTTCTGATTTGTGTTCTCTTTTTATCCTTTAATGTTATTAAAACCTCAAAACTGAACAAAAATTGAGCTTGGAAAAAGACTTAGCTTAGTTCTAATTTTCGCTCATCTGAAAGATATTATGGTCGCAAGTGTGCGCTGTTGCTCGCAAAAGTGGGAAGCCAAGAAACGGCTGGAAGAGGGGGTGTAAAGGGGATGGATGAAAAGGTGATGGAGAGGGAGGGGGGAAGGAGAAGAGAGGAGGGAATGTCGTTTAAAAAAAGATTTGGTTGTTATTGACTTGCCAATTTACAGACTAGATTAGAAAGCTTGAGTTATCACAATACTGCTTCTCATTATTATGCTATACATTAGCCTTGAAACGGTAAGATTAGGATGTCTTGATGATAATAATAGTATGACATATAATATAATATATTCTTTGAACTACTCCAATCTTATTTAGTACTATTGCACTATGTTCTGAACATTGCACCGATGCCTTTTAGTCAGCCAAAACAAACGGAATACACTTGTATCTTCTAGTTATTTAACGTTTTACTAATTGGGGCTTTGAATCATTTACCCAAATAAAATAGTATACTTTCTAGCACTTTGATTATTTTAGAAATTTATTATGCCGCTATTAGAAATTTATAAACAACATTGCCAGGTTTCAATTACTTCGGGCATGTTGGGTTTGGGGGTGCAGGTGCAGAAGTGGGGGAGGGGGGGGGGGTTATCTATGGATACGCGTTTTGGTCGGAAAAGGGGCCAGGTGTAGGGCATGTGAGGTTCGGACAAGAAAAATGGAGTAGGGAAAAGAACCAAGTTGTTAAATGTCTATTAAGGACTATCGACCTCAAGTCAGTTATCTAACACATATAGACAGGAAAGAAAGAACAAATACGAATTGTCTCTAGCTCGATCTGGTTATACGTATAAACAAAACTGATGACTCTACTCTAAAAAAAAAAGAAAGAGAAAGACTTCTATATTACTAACTGCACACATATTATGTTTTGCTGTAGAAACTCAAAGGAACAATAGGAGGAGAAATTCACTAGATCTACATTAAAAGAAATAAACTGTTTCATTAGAGACATGCCTTCTGATTTTTGTTAGTATGATATTCCAACCCGTTCTCTGCAGCAGTTCGTGCATTTTATAATGCGTATTACTTTTAGAGTTAGCTTAACAGTCTGCTCTTTTAAAAGAAATTAGACTTCTCTGCAAGATAGGCCTCATTTTACCGTTACAATCTAAATAAGCATGTCGGTGAGAGACCCGATTTGGAACTTATGCATGCATACCAAGCTTGACTTGTGTGGGTATGCAAATATATGTCTTTATCAAATTTTGTCACAACATCTACAACACATAGCCTGCTCATCCTTCAGTACACATTGCCATTTGTTAAATATCAAGAGGACCAACGAACGTGTCTTTAGCTTACTATGACGGTGAAAGCAGACATAAGTTCTCCATAAACCGTGGAAGATTTCTTCCCTGTCTAAAACATGGCGGACGTAAGCTAACAACCAGAGTGAAACATCTCAGCTGACCGCTGTACACTTTCGATTGAGAGTCAGTCACATAGCACACAGTGAAAGGAGAACAGCCTACAGCATGCGGTCAAGGACAGAGGTGGAGGTTATACGGGTCAAGAGGTCAGAGAATTCGAGGGGTCAGGGTCAGGGGTCAGGGGTTAGGGGGTTAGGTAGGTGGGCGGGGGAAAATAAAACCAGCTGACTACAGGAGAAAGAGGTTTGAGGGCAGGCCAAGGTGAACACGAAAGCCGTCCACTACTAACACACTGATGGACGCACGGGGTGCTCCACGCGTACCCACGACACGCTGCACCCGGCGTTTAGGAATAATGCATCTAGCATAACCGGGGGCAAAGCAAATACCTGAAAGACAGTGATTATTGCCCACAGAAGGGAATCAAAGTTCTTGCGATCACATTTACGACTGCCGTCGTCCAGCTTCTTACAGAATTTACAGCCAAACAAATTCATTCCCAGAATGCTGAACACATGTCAAGTGGGGAGAAGGGGAAAGGAAGAAGCCAAAAGGAAATACAGATTATTTGCTAGATTCTAGAGTAGGGAAGTCAAGGTATTATAAAGTAATTTCACACACTGCAAGTTTATATCCTCTTTGAATACACGTATGTATTTCAGGATTTAGAACCTCACACTGAACATGGGAGCTAGAGGGCATAAAATATCTTGAAGAATGCGTGTAAATATCTTGTTTTATATTTGTTTCTGAGATAAGGAAATCAGGGTTGTCGAAACAAGTACTTCAGTCAGCATTGAGAAACATATGTATATAACTGGGGGTTGTGGCTGAGTCAGAGTGTACAAAACAAAAACAAAACAAACTTTTCAACTCACAAAGTATGTTGTTATTCGCTCATAGAACAATTCAGCAATTTCAAATAAGTGGACATCTTAAAAGACTGATGTATTACTACCTAAAAGTTTTGTTTTTTTGTTACACCCCCCCCCTCCCAAAAATAGAGCAAAACAAACCCAGAAAATCCCAACTTTGGCATTTATGTAAGCGTAATACCAAATACACACAAAAAAAATTCCTTAACCTTGAAGTAAAATGGAACCAAACACTTCATTAAACAGTTTAACCAAACCTGCCCGCTACTTTTCCCGCCCGAACAAAAGACGAAATAGATGAAAGGGCAAAATTTGAAAAGTCTCTTCTCACTCCCTAACAATTCTAACTGACATTTATCCATAACAAAAATAATGATAATAAACATTTTCAATACCTGCACTTAATTAATGAAGATTTATAATAATTAAACAAATGCATCGTACAGTACAGTGCTTACCTGAATATGAACATGAACAAAACTAAAAGAGCGAAGAAGGTCGCCACATTATCCATGGTGCGCAACATCACCACCAGCTGCCGTCGCAGGGCGGGCATGAAACGAACCAGTTTGAGGATTCTCAGGAGACGGAATGTACGAAGTACAGAGAGGCCGCTCGCCCCACCTTGGGCCAGCTCCACAATGCTAGGAGGGAGGGGAGGGGAGGGGAGGGGAAAGGAGGGGAGGGGAAAGAGAATTACTTGTTGATTGATTGATTGTTTGATTGAGTAGGTGTTTCACGGCACTATCGACTCAATTTTGGTCTTGCAAGAGCCATTTGTCAGGACACGGTGGAATTAGACGCTGTATGATACATGGGTAGATAGATAGATAAATAGATAGATAGATAGATAGATAGATAGATAGATAGATAGATAGATAGATAGATAGATAGATAGATGGATAGATAGATAAGATAAATAATAATAACAACAACAAAAACCAATGGCGCCAATGGTAGCAAGATAAATAACAATTATTAGTAACAACAAAAACAAAAACAGAAAAAACCCTCGAAAGTCCCCCAAAACGCCAAAGTAAACATACCTGAGTATCACAATGAAGCCATCAAAGACATTGAAACCATTGCTGATATATCCAAAGACGCCGTAGGCACAAATCTTGAAGGTCATCTCTGCGCCGAAGAGAACACAGAACACCACGTTACTGTACTCAAGGGTTGTAGTCAGCAAGTCGGGCTGAGGGAAGAGACAATGTAGATGGAAATTGTAGACGTTTTACGCTCCTATCGACACCATTTTGATAAAATAATAAATATAAATTTGCTGGGGCACGGTAAAAACGCGTACACACACACGCACGCGCACGCACTCGTCATCTCTCTCACTCTCTCTCTCTCTCTCTCTCTCTCACACACACACACACAAACACACACACACACACACACACACACACACACACACGTGCGCACGCACGCACTTTCTCTCTCTCTCCCACACAAACACACACACACACACACACACATACACACATACACACATACAAACACTCACACACACACATGCACTCTCTCTCTCTCTCTTTCTCTCTCTCTCTCTCTCTCTCTCTCTCTCTCTCTCTCACACACACACACACACACACACACACACACGCACGCGCACACTCTCACTCACACACATACACACACACTTACATACACACAGTCGTACACACGCAGCTTGACATAATAATATACAATGATGTTATTCTTTAAGGGGCCAATTTTCAACCCAGAACGTGCCAGGGATGAAAGTATAGACCAGGGCCAAAAAGTAATATACAGGGATACAACTTCACAGCATAAAAACAAAGATACCCAATTGAATAACAATTTCCCCACTTGAGAATAGTGAGAGTGTCGAGGAGATGATGAGTACAGTGAATAAAGATAATATGGGGTATAGAGGGGTAAAATTGGGGGAGAGGACTTGGGGGAGGGGGGGGGGGAAGGTTTAATGAATTAATGTACCCCACTGCGCTCACAGACTATGCATCCATATTTCTAAGTTGGAGGTTTAAGACGATGCTAACAAATTGTTCAAAATACGAGCCTAATGTATTTTCATTTTCATAATGGAGGATTGAGTCATGAAGTTGATTTATACACCATTAATTGCGAACGTGTGTCTTCAACAGTTTTTCACTTCAAAAGTATGTACGAATCCAGAGTTCAGTTAGTTGAGATTTGATTTGATTTAAAAATAACCACTCTAGATTTGACTTCGAAAACATCGAAAGAAGCCCGTTCGATAGATTTACGAATTTGGGGGGCTCCCGTGGGTGAGAGGTTATGATTTTTGCCCCTCCTTCAATAGGTCCCGGTTTCGTATCCGGGCGTCTACTAAAAAGTTTCTTCTCTAAAATTTTCTCATTTCACCTTCTATCCTGCTCTCTAGCAATATTCTGTCGTCTGTTTTCGTCTCCACTTTCTACCCCCATCCCCTCACCTCATTTGCCCCCTCCTATGGGCTCCTGACTCTTTCTGCAGCCTTTCTACAGCCACTCCTTACCTCCTTCTTACTGTTTTGTTTCAGTCACACTACTCATCTTGTAGTGGGCAAGATCTGATACCTAGCCTTCTCGGACAAAGGCGAAAAATCTCAGAGGTCCCGTGTGCAAGTTGCAAACGTTAACGATCTTTTGTTGATCCAAAATCAATAAGAACTGTAGGCTTCGGCTGCAACCGGACAAAATTCTATCTTTCGTACCAACTGAAAATGTATAACATGTTCCCCTCGCTCATATTATGACCGTAAGCGCCGTAAAACACTTACAAAATAAAAGACTTACGAACTACCCAACACCCACCCAGGGGATCGTGCACCCCAGTTAGTGAAAACTGGCCTTTCTAATAGTGAGTGCCCTCACCTGGTTGTGATGTTCCACTCCCATGCTGAGCGTGTTGAGCAGGATGGCAAGGAGAATGCTACGTTGGAAGAAATTGCTCTCAACAAATTTCTTCAATTTCTTCTGCAAACACATCACTATCCCTGCAGAAAAGAAAACTGCTGTTATTTTCTGTTCTGCCGCAGGTGAATCAATCTGAAAACAAGAGATGTTAGTCAACACTTCAAATTTACAATATCTATTGTATTGTATCATTGCCTGATTTTAGTTTATGCAAGTTACCACAAAAGCAAAGCAACTAATACTCATGAGAATCTTGAAAATGTGGCTTTTGCTTATTAAGTTTCCTTTATAAAAATCATAGACATTGTAACCATACAACTAATTGCAAATGTTATATAATTCGGAACAAGGGCAAAATAAGAGTCTCATTATTTGATTATTTTTCCCTGCTCTGTACCATAGCCAGTGATGGACTTATAACTATAACTGTGGTCATGTTCACCTCTGAAGCTTGGCAACTTTTTATTTTAAAAACTCAAATTTATAATTTAAAAAATTCAATCCCCATAGAATATAAATCTTTTCTTTCCTTCACTATTTCTTTACATTGTATTTAAAAATTATCTTCTAGTTGAATATTTTTTGACAATGACAATGACAATGACAACCTTTATTCATCTTGCAGGGAGAAGTTTGTCTTGGTCTTTTACAATGGCAGTAGATGTTACAAAGCTTAGGTCTTCATATCACCACAGAAGAAACATGCATTACATAAACTGGTTTAAAGCGTCGTTCTCAGATAGTTATCAGTTAATTTTTTAGATTATTATGTCCAAGGTTTAAAATTTGTCTAATGTGATCCAAGATTATAAAAAAGACATATGGATCAAAACTAAGAAGACCAATACCCAAACACTTTGAAGTATGAAAACATTATTAAGAGTCACACGCACAAGACTAGTGAAAGAAATAGAGCGCATGCATAAACATAATATACGTGTACAATGTAGACCAGATACTGCATTAGCCAATCTACACAGAGAGACAATGAGCACTTAGAGAAGACCCGAGTCGATAGACATACACTTTTCACACGCGATTCACTAGAGATCGATATGTAAATAGCAAAATAGAGCACAGCTGAAGAAAAAAAATATATAATTATGAACATACTTTAAACACGTTTTGACAAGTTGAATCAGTAAACACTAAAAGAAACACAGATTATGAAACTCCATTCAGATTTAAAATAAGAAAAAAGATTTAATATTTGTTAGAATATATGCTCAAAAAGAGACACCAAAACTACAGGTTCGAACGTCACTCGTTCATATCTCAGCCAAGTTTTTGTAGTAGCATAACAAGAAATGTCTACCAGCTAACAGCAAGTTCTGTGTAGAAGCACACCAGAAGAGCCCAACAACTACTAGCTTTTGACACACGTTGAAGCTAGAGTATGGGGCGTCAGGGCTTATTACTGCTTGGTACTTGGAACAAAAAATCTATACAGAAATCAGGCACGTAGTTCGTGGGTTTCGTGTAACATGACACGGCGCATGCAAACTGTTTCACTATTTCTAGGAATGCATCGTGTCTGAATACAATATGAAACAAGAGCCAAGAGTCTACTGTTTGTCGACAATATGAAACAGGACGATGAACTGCTAAGGGTCTACTGTTTGTCGACAATATGAAACAGGACGATAATCTGCTAGGAGTCTACTGTTTGTCGACAATATGAAACAGGACGATAATCTGCTAAGAGTCTACTGTTTGTAGACAATATGAAACAGGACGATGAACTGCTAAGAGTCTTCTGTTTGTCGACAATATGAAACAGGACGATAAACTGCTAAGGGTCTACTGTTGTCGACAAAATGAAACAGGACGATAATCTGCTAAGAGTCTACTGTTTGCAGACAATGTGAAACAGGACGATGAGCTGCTAAGAGTCTATTGACGCGAAAAACTAGGATGCTGAATAACACATTACCGACACTTCGCTAGACATAGATAATGACAACTCAAGAACAGCGAAAGGACAATGCCGAGGGCAGTCGCATGTAATGCTTGCTATTGCTTCAGTATCTATACAGAAGATTACCTACCACGGTGGCTTTGGTGTAAAGATGACACCCGAAAAAATGGTGTAATGTAAACAACACATCTAGGAAAGTAACTGAAAGGGATTTTTGGTAGCAAAATGTATTATCAGCAGTCAGTGCTGACATGAAGCAGTGTTAAATATCAAATCAAAAGAAAAGGGGAATTTCGAAATTAAGGTTTATCACATCCCAGGCAAGGAGTGCTTAAATATGAAAAAGAATGGGTGTGTATGGGTAGGTGGGTAATTATTTGGATAAAGAAATTATCACCAAGGTATTGATTGAAAGGTTTGAAGGTGGGAGGTTGGGAAAGGGGGGGGGGTGCTGATAGTTCGCTCACGGAAGATTAAGGATCAGAAAAAAAGAAAACACGTAAGTCTTACCGCACCCAGAACAGGTTTTGGTAGCATGAGTGAATGAGTGAGCCTTGCACTGACACAAAGCACAGCGGGAGACAACCACTGAAACAGACCACCAACCGTCCACCGACATGACAAAAAAACCTGGTGTCTGCCCAGCACGGGCCATGCACAGAGGTCAAGCGAAATACAGGTCTAGTGGAAGCTCTGCCACAAACACGGACTTTCGGGACGAAACGTGGACATTGTTGGACCCTAACGTATTCTATGCTTGCATTGTCTTGTGTGCTCAACTAAACTGGAAATTTGTCTGTGCTTTAGACTATAATATATAGCCTACTGTGCATATATCATAAAATATATCAAAGGTAAAAAATTATATTAATATAATGTATTTATTATCATATTATACACGATTACTTTATGCATAATATTATATACCATGGCATTTTCCGATTTCTGAAAGTGCCAAATTTTGTCACTATATCTGAAACATATTTATATAAATTTTCAAATGTTATCTTTTAATACGTTATTCACTTACTGTTATTGACAGGACATGATCGTCAAGAAGCTTCACGCCACCACAGTGCACTCCACGTTATATCACATTTTGATATTCAAATGGCATCCAGAGCTTCATAGCTTTTTTTCCCCTTTCGGGACGGAGCTGGGGGTGTTCTGACGCCGACGGTTTTCATTAATATTATTGTACCTAAAAACCAAACCGTTGACCCCTTCAGTTTTCCTTCGCCATATCCCGGTTCACATTTCGTAGACTCGGAAATCGCGATTATTTTCTTTTTCCAGCCGCAGAAAGATAGGGGATGCTCTATCAATACACAATATTGACTGATGTTCGGCCAATGATTATCATTAACAAAACTATGTGGCTGAGAAGAGGGACGTAGTACTTGTGCAATCTATTCCTTTATGTCTACGGCCTTGGCAAAGCTGTATCATACATACTGCTTTAAACAAAAAATAATCTTTTCAAAACGCAAAAGGCAATACAGATAATATACACGTATTTGTTTATGGACATATATAATTACCTAAAATGTATTTCGCTTTAAGCAGTTGTTGTATAAATGCAAACATCATCTTGCTGATGAAGCTAACAAGCTTATGAAAAGTTTGCACCGAGGCTTAACGGGAGAGCAGAGAGTGAAAAGGAAAAAGTAAGCAGTACTTATCAAAAAGGAAAAGTTCCGCATTCTCACTCAAGTTAATTTTTAAAAAAATGTAATATATATATACATATATTATATCGCTAGACTCTATTTCGGTGGAGGTGTAAAGCTTCCAGACTGTCCTGTCTCCTGCTCTCATAGGGGGAGGGTACAGCATGTGTGTGGCAACCGCTGACACAAACTAGAAGAAAAACATCCAGGAGAGAACCACTATACCACAAATATTACTTGATCGTGTCGACCCTCCGGACTCCTCGCGACTTAGGTCGTAATCCGAGTCGACTACGTCACCCTGTAGGATACCAGCCACTGTGGTGGTGGTGGTGGTGGTCGGGGCGTTAGGGTGCTCGCCTGCAAGCTCCTTGTCCCCGACGTAAGTGCACGAACCCTGCTGAAAGGACGGCTCTCCGTCCAGGCCTGTGAGGTGCTGACCGTCTGTTTCACTCTGCATAGACAGTTGGGTGCTGAGCTGCTTCTCGCCCCCCACCATGTCCATGAGGAGATTGTCGGCGAACAGACCTGGGAAAACGAAATTTCCGCTCATCTCATTGGGAGACAGATTAATAATCTTCAAAAACACAATTCATTTACATATATATAT